AGCCAGATTTCAGACAGCCAAACAGTGATTTCGATATATGAAGACTAAGATGTTGTGGCCTCTGTTATGGTCGCAGTCTCCTTTCGATTTATAGAAGTGGTTTGACCTCGTTGTTGTCAGGGCGACTACGTAGAACGCACCTAGTCCGAATTCGTCTGCCATAGTAGTTGTCATGATTACCAGTATCAAACAGTGGAATTGGTACATTCTCAAACGTTTCGACGGCATCGTAGTCGGCATCCTCAGTCAGTTCTGTCATTCTCCGCGTCAAGCTACGAACTCGTCAAAGAGACAAGTGAAGTCAATCCCTCGACAACCGTTCTGCCAAAAACGGTTACACTATCACTCCTCTTTCTGTCATTGTTTTTAATGTTTACCAACGGACAATTGGTATGCGGGTTAGGAGAAAGGGGCGGCTGAATGAAGGTAAAGAGCCCTGCAAACAGCACCTGGTAACGGTGGAGGAGATAATTACGCTTCACTAAATCTTATGTAGCAACATTGGAAGAGACGAGAGCACAGAACTGTATAAATAGGTTGATGGGCTATATAAAGTAGGGTTGAAAGAAAGAGATGCAGCACTAGAAGCTTGAAGGAAAATAAGGACAAGGAATGATGCCAGAACAGATGAACAGACAATTGCTAAAGTGGATCAACTTCACTTGTCATTTTTGATAGACTGTAACTCTGTGCTACCGATGGCGCCTCTCAGTGACGATACCGTCGAAAGGTCTAGGAATGTACCAAGTCAATAGTCCGATGTTGGAAATCCCAAATCTTATGATAGAGAACAAAGCACTAGGTATCTACAACAAAGTCTTCCTGACACTGCAACCAAGTTGCAAAAACTTTCTTCGAACCAACACAATCTTAAATGGAATTCAAATGTTCGCTATTGAACCTTTAGCTGTCAGTCCTTGAATCTTTTTATGCGACCAGGACAGGCTAAGTTCTAATTAACGAATTATTAATAGTATCATTAACTACTTACACCGAAATTTTATGCCCAAATTATCAGTGTGAACCAAATATAAAATAAAAGTTCTCCTACTTTAGTATGCATTTGTCTTGTGGCACACATTACAATATTATATGACCTGTATTCACCCTATTTCGTTTGAGGTGATGATGGACAAGTAGAAGAATTCTCCCACAATGATATGAGTAGAGCATAGCCTTGCTTGCCCCAAATTTGTTTTCATCAAGGCACCAGTGGACTGCAGTCTCGACCTCGCATCGGTCTTATCATCACCCCCAGCGGGATTCGAACCGTGAAGGTGCAGAATGTGAGCTTGACACGTTAACCGCTCTACCACATTGTCACGAGTGTCCTTGAGTCGCAGGGCAAATGTGCATTTCAAAGAAGCCAGGCCTTTTGCCTTATCATATTCTTTGTTGGGATTGTCAATGAAGCAAACGTATGTTTTGCTTATTATTATTTTAGTATTATAGTAGAGTTTCGAGACTACCAATAAATCAGTAAAATGATATGTATTCACCCTACTTCATTTAAGGTGACGAAGGAGATAGGATTAATACATCTGGTAGTCTCGAAACTCTATTCAAATACAAAAAAAATTTCCTATGCTAGATTGATATGTTGAAAGAGAGAGAGGGTGTTGAACCGCTATCCAAAAAAAGGCGACTCAACTTGTCTGCTCAGCGGTGGTTCTATCTTCACTCACACTCGTCCAACATGTTAAATTAAGCTCATCAACCAAACCAGACGTTCGAGATTATGCAATCCCAGTCAGGCCTTTCCTTGGGTTGTTAAGCTTTAATGCACCTATACTGAGCGGTCATTATCTAAACCATACTTGCTAATGGACTTACGCATTCTCGGTTAGTGATTTCTCTTGGGTCATTAGGCCATTTTTGGCCACTCTTATTTAGGACGGTTATTGTGTATAGACGTTAACACACTTATTCTAGCAAAAGTAGTAGGAACAGTATGAAAGATAATTAGTTAAACCATGTTATATCTATCAATGCATGTTCATTTAGTTTTTTTAGTTATGCGTATTGATAAGACGTAAGATAGAGCAGGATAGTCTTCTTGACCGAGTGCTAATGTGAGACTTTCACAAGTATTAGTTCAAGCTCTGATTATGGCCATCGAAGTATGGAAGAAAGCTGAGTCTGTTTTCCCCGAAGCAAGATAGCATTTTTCGTGGACTGTGTCAACCTGAATGTCGTATAAAAGCCAAACGGTTGCAGTACAACGAGATTCAGCAGTTCTCTTCTGGTGAAATCGACCTTTGAATCACTTCTTCGTGCACTCTAATACGAAATGAAGGTCTAGTCAACAATGTTATCTCAGAAGACTCATCTAAGCCCAGTTTCTCTTCGTGCCTACTAATATATTTCTTGAAAAATTCAATTATCATTCATATTTAGCGCATGCGACCTAGGAAGAATATGACTATTATTTTGTTGAGATCTGGATCTTCAGAGACATAAAGAACAACTCTGCTGGCTGTCGGTACCCTCCAAATGTCGGTATTCGCAGAGATTTAGATGAACCATGGTCCTGAAAGCACGTCTTCAGTCTATCTCCCGTAGGCCCCAAACACGGTGTTTCCAACCCAAATTGATGTGAATCTCATTTTTACCTTTTCTCGCAGTATACATTCGTCTTATTTGCATGCTTTTGTGCTTTGTGCATTTCGTATTATATTTGAACACATACAAGCCAATTCCATCCATTTCTCGACTTCGCATTCTCAGAAAGCCAAAAACGTACACGGGCCTTACGCTGCCTCATAAGTTGCCACCATTGGCCAACCCAGTCGATGTGAGAGTTCTTCCTCTTCCCGGCTACCTGGAACAGACGGTCGCGACCATCCTATCCTCTGCGCTGGCGGGTGTCGGGCAGCTGAAACCGAAATTCCCCTTCGTTGAACCGGAAAAATCGGCCCTCGCCTATTTGGCCCTTTACTTGAAAGGTGAGTTTTCCGTCTGCTTGACAGCTTTGTATGTCGGCATGTGAATCGGGGGTGCTTTCTTAGCCAGCGCAAGACAGGTACTGGAACTAGCTCAAGCTTGTTATAGACTCAATGTTAGATGAACAACTTCTGCCATAGGTTGACATGTTATCACAGTTTATGTGAACAGGAGTTCAAAAATATCCTTCCAGGGC